CTAGCAACCAGCCAGTGCACCGACTCAGGAAGTATCCTGTTCGAATTTTAAGGATTGACAATTTAAGTATCTTACAGGCGGTTGATCGCAGCGTCGTGATGGCCTACCAGTAAACTACCAGTGAGCTAACGATACCTACCAGTAAACTACCAGTGATCTAACAATACCTACCAGTAAACTACCAGTGAGTTAACGATACCTACCAGTAAACTACCAGTGAGTTAACGATACCTACCAGTAAACTACCAGTGAGTTAACGATACCTACCAATAAACTACCAGTGATCTAACGATACCTACCAGTAAACTACCAGAGATCTAACGATACCTACCAGTAAACTGCCAGCAAGCTAACGATACCTACCAGTAAACTACCAGTGATCTAACGATACCTACCAGTAAACTACCATTGATCTAACGATACCTACCAGTAAACTACCAGTGATCTAACGATACAACAGTAACCTACCAGTAAACTACCAGTGAGCCCTACCAGTAAACTACCAGTGATCTAACGATACCTACCAGTAAACTACCAGTGATCTAACGATACCTACCAGTAAACTACCAGTGAGTTAACGATACCTACCAGTGATCTAACGATACCTACCAGTAAACTACCAGTGATCTAACGATACCTACCAGTAAACTACCAGTGAGTTAACGATACCTACCAGTAAACTACCAGTGATCTATAACGATACTTACCAGTAAACTACCATTGAGTTAACGATACCTACCAGTAAACTACCAGTGAGTTAACGATACCTACCAGTAAACTACCAGAGATCTAACGATACCTACCAGTAAACTACCAGAGATCTAACGATACCTACCAGTAAACTACCAGTAAACTACCAGTGATCTAACGATACCTACCAGTAAACTACCAGTGATCTAACGATACCACAGTAACCTACCAGTAAACTACCAGTGAGCCCTACCAGTAAACTACCAGTGATCTAACGATACCTACCAGTAAACTACCAGACACAGTGGAGCCTACGACGATACCCTACGCAAGTAAACTACAGTGAACGTTAAGCGATACCTCACAGAAAATACCAGTGATCTAACGATCCCTACCAGTAAAGCTACCTTGAGTTAACGATACCTACCAGTAACTATCAGTGACGTTACGATACCTACCAGGTAAAACTTAACAGAGATCTAACATACCTACCAGATAAACTAACCAGAGATTAAGCCGATACTACCTACACCAGTAACTACCGGAGTAACATACCTTACCAGTGAACTACCAGTGACGGTTACGCAACGCTACCAGTTAACTACCAGTGAGCTAACGATACCTACCAGTAAACTAACATTGAGCTAACGATACCTACCAGTAAACTGCCAGTGATCTAACGATACCTACCAGTAATAGGTGATGGTGATAGTCATAGGTAGCACCATAGTGAGTTGCAAGGTTCTCCAGTTGGGTATAAAGTACGCTAGCAGAGGCAGTGTCATGATGCCCACACTCCACACGTTCATGAAGACTAGTCCGACAGTGGCTCGTGACGATTGAGGCACCGACTCACACAGCAGGACGAACGCGGCCAGGCCTGCGCCCTGCTTACACGCAATTCAGTTCTCTTAACGATCGATAGATAGGTATTAGTCGAACGTGATCACACTCAGGCAAAAAGACAAACTATTTAACAGATTAATATATAATAGAGAGAAAGAGAGAGAAAGAGAGAGAAAGAGAGAGAGGGGGAGACATTGATAGACAGATAGACAGCTAGCTAGATAAATAGATAGAGAAAATAACTCGGTAAAATACAATAGAATACAAACCGTTTGCGACAAAGCCATGAAAAAATGCATGACCATGAACTGAGCGTACGACTGCGTAAAGACCTTCGCTACGCCGAACGCGACGTAACTCAAGCCAAGACATATCGCCGTCGGCTTCCGCCCGAAGAAATCCGCCACCTGTGGAGCTATTAGAGCGCCGAACAGCTTTCCAAACATGTACACGGTTATCGTCAGTTGAACACCGACCTTCATGTCGCAAACGAGGTCCCACTAGGAAACGAAAGTTACCATTGCAATATTAGCATCATTATCGTCGTCGTCGTCGGCAACGTTGTTGTCGTCGTCGTCGGCGTCGTCGTCAGTTTCAACAGCATCAAAAGCGTCAGCACCATTATTATTGTTGTTATTGTTATTATTATTATTATTATTATTATGATGATGATGATGATGATGATGATGATGAGTGACTGGATGATGATGATGATGGATGTATTATTATTATGTCCAAAGTGGATCGCGGCATTAGCCGGTGGCTTCTGGGATGGTATTCTTCATCATCATCCCCATCATCGTCATCATCATCATCATCATCCTCATCATCATCTTCTTCTTCTTCTTCTTCTTGTTCTTCTTCTTGTTCTTCTTCTTCTTCTTCTTCTTCTTCTTCTTCTTCTTCTTTATTATTATTATTATTATCATCATCATCATAATTATTATCGTCACATTTATCATCATTGTCGCCCGCGTCGTCATTGTCACCAACAGATTCATGGCGTTGTAACGTATAAATTGTTTATATTGATGAGATATTATTTAACGCATATTGAATTAAAGTTTGTCAATGTGTAGTCTTTCACGCTCCTAGATACAGCATTTCAATGACTGCAGAGTTGGACCAACCTACCTCGACAACGATATTGTTTCCGTGTGTGTCGTCATACCACCATCCATTCTGGCAGTCTATCGTCGAATTATCCACTGAGCTGTTAACAAATTGCTGGCAGGTTGCTAATTTCCAGCCTCCGCAGTTATCTCGTATCCACGGTATGGGTCTCATTTACGACACCGCTTCTGGTATCTAAAAATGACGGGCTAGTATGTTGACACTCGTACGGAGATGTGTTCTACTTGGCCGTCTCGAGGGGGAGTATCTGCATACCCTTTATTGAACTTATATCTCGTAGTGTGTGCGCATATATAGGTACCATAGCAGGTGATACATGGCATGAATATATATAGTAAAAAAAATTGGGGGATTTGTTGATATACATTCGGTTGCTATAGCTATAGCTGTGCGTGTGACTTACCTTGCAGTGATATTCGGTTCTGCACCGATGTAAATTAATCGACATCACATGCCAGGCGACGCACAGATCCATCACAGAGATGACCGTAAATATTATCATCTGATAGCGTCCAAAGCCTCCCGCCTGCATCATTGCAGCGTCAACGTCCATCGCCATGGCTGTCGCCGGTTTCATCTTTGCTGCCGGTCGGGGTTGGTTTTCGCGCGCTATATGCTAGCAGATATCATAGAAGTAGAACCGATGTACTACTACTCTCTCTCTCTCTCTCTCTCTCTCTCTCTCTCTCTCTCTCTCTCTCTCTCTCTCTCTCTCTCTCTATCTCTCTCTTTCTTTCTCTCTTTCTTTCTCTCGCGCTCTCTCTCTCCCTCCCTCTCTCTCCCTCTTTCTCTCTCTCTCTCTCTCTCTCTCTCTCTCTCTCTCTCTCTCTCTCTCTCTCTCTACTTCTATGGCAGATATACGCATTAAACATGGGTGCTGCGAATTACCAAGATACCGGATTCGTGCCAGAGCCAAAACTAATGTGTGCGTTTCTTTCGTCCGTACAAAGAGGCGAAACGATAAGTTATCTTAATCAGACGCGCTAAAGTAAGATACAATGTATATACTACAGCACATAGCAATGCACATGGGATATATATATATATATATATATATTAATATATCTTATTTGTTTATTTTATATTCACGTGCAAGTAGGGCTATTTGTCTTGGCGTACAGCTATGTCACATGCACCCAGCGGCGTTCGTAATTTTTGCGGTACTGTACGAGATGACAGATGTGACAGATTTGAGAAATAAAGAAAAATGGGTAAAAGCGGGTTACGTGAAATAGTATATAGAGATTTAACCGTTGAGAGGAAACGTTTGTGCATGCAACGCGTTTGATGGTGCGATTGATTCCCTATTACTACACGCTGCGCGACGCTACAGAATTAAAATGATATCAACCTAAAATAAAATCAGGACTAAATAAAAGGAAATGTTTGTTACGTGAATAGCAATTAATTTAAAATTATTATGATCGTTATTCTGAGCTATATAAGTAACGGAATAACATTAGGAACATTAGTATATATTATATAGTTTGATTATTGTAATTTCTAATGTTCCTAATGATATTTCGTTACTTAAATAGATCAGAATAACGTTACAAACAAAATTAGAACAAGGAAAAAAATACGGTAATTACGGAACAAAATAAAGCGAAAAATATATCACCTAGTGGGTTTTGAACCTGTCCTGTCCTGATGTAGCTGTATTAAACTGCCCTAACCATTAGGCGAACGCGCAAATAGAACTTTAAACTGTATTCGTGATGGCCTAGCGGCTAAAGGCGGTTGGCTTAATGAAGTTAGCGAGATAACGTGTTCAATCCCGACTAGGAGGACTTATTTTTCGTTTTTTTCTCTTTAGTACTTCATGTTTTCCTTTCTTCTAATTTTGTTTTTAACACTATTCTGAATTATCCAAGTAACGGAATAACAATAGAAACATTAGAAATTACAATAATCAAAGTATATATGGGTATATATGTTACGTTTTATTATATATTAACATAATTATTATAACATTCTTTTGGATCTACCGTCAACTAGATTACGGGAGTCCATCAATGATGTAGCTATAAATAAACGCAGGACGCTCTTCTGAAACAGATAACGAGTAGCTAAATATTTTCATGAAACAAGAAAAGGTAAATGGGATGCGTCCTGCATAATATCAGGAGTAGATAATAGCTAGGGAATTCCCTATTATCTACTCTTAATATANGGTTCTCCCTTAATGACATCTGTAGGACACGTACGGGGTGGCCTCTGTTATTGACCGCCCTGCGACAATGCTGATTTATTTATGACCCGTAAGCATGTGGTTGGTGGTCAGCAGAGCCGGCCCTTGGCCTTTTCGTTAATCACCTGTGCGGTGTGTGAAATATCAGTTTCTAGTTATCCCACGGTGTTACACAACTGTCATGTATCAATTAATCTACATCAATCTAAAAATCGAAGTATACGTAAACTAGTTTATTTATTTCTGAATAATTTGCGCGCATGCCATCCATCAAGCAGGTACCCCGAGCCGTTTCAATAATAAAGCGATTGTAAATCATCACAGCTTGTATTCAACGCCAATGACTTAATGTGTATGTAGGGCCTACTCTCGATCGCCTGATGTTTCCACATAAATGCTATTGTGCAGCAGCATAATTACACCGCACGCACGCACGCACGCACGCACGCACGCACGCACGCACGCACGCTGCTGTGCACAATACTCAAAAAAAGATCTAGAGGGTGAGAGCATCATTCTGTGAGTTTCTAGCCCTCTAAGCAAATGTAATCTCAATTTCAAGCAAATTTTATGAGATATTGTTCAATCATATCGTCACCTACACTGACAATATTTTTATTTTAAAATCCGCAACCTCGCATGCGTGCCGCGTGCACCGATGGCGTGATGTAACACCCACTATATCCACAGCATGGTACCGAGGAACGCATGATTATGATGTCCTGTGCCCTCTGCTCGAAAGTACACACCAATACGGGCATCTCGCTATCACGCTTGCTTGCCATGGCGAATTTTTTTTTATTGCTGGCCATCCTGGCAAGTTTATTCATACCTGAATCGGGTGCGTGCTTGACTTTACCTAGTACAAAATAAATTTAACATAGCAACTAACATGATTACAAATCGAAGGTGCACGTGGAACAATTTAACGTTTAAAAGTAATATAATTTATGGGCGTCTAAGAAAATGTCATCTAAGCCTGAGTCGTAAAATTCGATGTTTGCAATGAAAACTGCACCTTGCACAGTAATATTAAAGGCGCAGCAGCAGCGACCAACATCGTCAGTACTAGCTACACCACAGTACAGACAACATGGCAGCTGCGTCAGCTCTAGTGTGGACACTGTTGAGTGGCAGGAATATTCTCGCCATCATCGCCTTTGGTCTGTTAGCTGTCTTCAGTTGGCCGTACTGGCGTCGCCCCCGTAATGCCCCGCCCGGACCGCTAGGGTTGCCCCTGCTGGGTTCAATACTCTCATTTGGCAAGCACCCGGGACAGTACCTGAGGTCGCTGACGCAGACGTACGGCACCGTCATATCGCTTTACATCGGATCGGAGTTCGTCGTTGTGCTGAACGATGTAGAAGGTCTGCAAAACATGGGCGCCTTCCGTCGGTAGACGTATTGGGCGACGGATCCTCTGTGGGGGGGATGCGCGGGACGCGATGTATCAAGGGCATGCGGTCAAAGACATCACGCAGAATCGCCTTTTTCAATGCGGACAGAACAAGCCTCGTATTCGGGTAGGGGTATATGTGGAGCTTTGCAGGGGTAAGAGTACCCGCATAATTGTCATGAACACGGCGAATGGAATGTGTTTGGTTGTGAAATGCCGTTGCTTTGGGGGTGGGTTCATTTTCGACGGATTCTAACATAATGTGATACGTTATTTTTCAGGACTGGTCTCAAGTAAGTGGCGAAATATGAAAACTCATCGCAAGTTTTCCTATTGAATGGCGCTTGCGGGTCTTTGGCAGTGGGGAGCGAGCAATCGAAGAGAAAATCAAAGAAGAAATCGCGCTCGTTGCTTCCACTTAACTAAGATCCTACGAGGGCCGAGCATTTGACAACAGGGTAAATATTTTTAGTTTTTCCACTATGCGCGGTTTACAGTCCTTTTAAAAATCTCGTTTTGCGGTTACTTCATACCCATCAATGGCATGCGATTCTCCCCTAGTACTCTTCCCTCACGCGGACATTCAGACATGTCACATCGACGTTCTCACGGGATGTAAAGTTAACATTTTATTATAATTAGCGCGTCGACCAATTCTAGTATACCAAGTCACCAAGGATATATAAACCGGTCTTGTAATCGGCTGTGTGTTGACTGATGGTACGAACGATTTGTTGTTATAGCGTGTTGATGTATAGTTTCCTACCAATGACATAAAGCGACTTTGACCTGTGTTATTACATTTTTACTATCCATATTTGCGCCCGTAGATGTTTCCCGATCAGATACACATCTATTGCTTCCTCCCGAATGCAAACCTAGAAGGCTAGTCGTTGAATTCATTTGCCGTTTAAAAATAAATACGTCGCACGTTCATGCACTGAATTCGTGTTCAACATACAATGCTTGTTAACCTACGATACAAATATTAACCGGAGAACTGGGCCGAAAACTATAGTGCAATAGTATCAATGGTCAATTGCTCATCAAAAACCGTTTCGTTTTCAGTTGCTACTGACGAATTGCGTTAGTAACGTCATTTGCAATATCGTGTTCGGAATGCGATACGACTACGGAGACCGCGAATTTCAAGTGTTATGCGACATTGTCAACCAACAAGTGGTGGACCTGGATCCAGTCAGCCCAGCCAACCAACTACCATTTCTTCGCAATTTTCCACCATTTAAAGGACAATTCGAGAGATTTAGAAAAAACAATAGGTATTCGATAAGTGAGTGAAATGAGGAAATTGTTTGTTGGTGGAGAGGGAGATAAATGGTCCTTAATTGGAATCTAACGGAAAATTTATCATAATCACGCCATGGCGACGCCTATCCACATTGCATCGAATTATGACATTGTATTGATAAACTCACCATCGCCTCACTGACAATATTAGGCCTCCAATTCTGTATATGTCTAGATCACAGATCAGTATACCCATCGTCTTTACAGACGTAACAAGTATTACACATAACCATGCCATCTTAAGACGTTGAAGCAATCATCGTTGATGTAACTTCAGTAGGAAAATCGCGAATTAACGATTTTAGCGAAGGTTAACGAGCGTGCCATCTAATTTTCTAACAATTGTGTTTTTCAGAACCATCTCTGACATTCTACAGAAACATATTGACACTCACCTTGAAAAGCATGATCCAGAGAATGCTAACGATTACATAGATGTCTATCTGAACGAAGTGAAAGCAAGCGAGGCGCGTGGAGAGATTACTTCAATTGTAGATAGCAGATCTTAATGTCTGTGAGAATATTCAAGGAAACTCGGCGTTGTATACGCGGGTACTTGCAGAAAATATATGTCGCATTTCATCCAACGTATAGTTGAGGCTTTTATTACATCTCCGGGATTATAATAATAAATAATATTATGATTTCTTGTTTCAAATAAATATTGTGCGCCAACAGCCTAGTCAATGAGACGTGAAACCACACCTATTAATTTCAGGAAACAGACAATCTAGAGTTATACACGTATAACTTCTTTATTGTCTTATAGGTAAATCCATGTATCTCACTCTACCTAATTCGGTAGAATGTTCAATACGAACTAAAGAGATGCGCTATATTTTTCAGTGGACCGCAGCTGCGCATAGTTACTTTCACTTCTTTATGGCTGGATCGGAGACGACCTCCACCACTCTGGCGCTGGGCGCTCTTGTTCACTTGTCAACACACCGGATGTATACAGGAAAGTACAAGCAGAAATTGTGACGTAATTGGACGCGGCCGTCTGCCATCTATGAGTGATAAAGCAAAAATGACATACACGGAAGCCACAATCTTTGAAATCCAACGTTTAGGTTAGTTTACTGGCGCGTAGACGCTGTATGATTTAATACTTATGACCGTACGTTTGGCCATCGGTAAAAAGCGTCATGAAGTAACGCGATTACAAACATCACATAGCCAACAATTGACTTGCCTTGACGCAGCCTCTTCATGTTTCCTTTCTTTTCTAGAAACATTGTACCGCTGTCGATTCCTCATATGTGTACGGAGCATTCGAGTTGAACGGCTACAACATCCCAGCTGGACAAAGGTGTTGGGCAACTTGACAGCTATAATGATGGGACCCTGCGTAGCTTCCCTGACCCAGAAAGGTTTAACCCAGAAAAGGTTCATAGACAAGGGTGGCAGTTTAGTGAAGAACCCAGCATTAATTCCCTTCTCGATCGGTACGTATCTAACTGACAATTAAACAGATAATATCGAGTAATTAAATGCACGAGTAAAATCAAAATGATTCCATATTTCTCTTGGTAAATAAATGTTACCATGATGAGAGATCAGCTAATATTGCTTACATTCAGGCGGCGCGTATGCCTAGGAGAAAACTGGCAAAGGTTGAACTCTTTCTGTTCTTCACAGAGCATTCTGCAGAACTTGATTGATAGCTACCCGAGGGCGAAAACCCATCCTTTGAAGGAATATTTGGCTCACATCACGGACCTAAGAGAGTATAAACTAAATTTTATTTCCATAGATACAGCAAGGCTTATTGGCTTCAAGTGTGTTTCAGAGAAGTTGAGAAACGTTGGAAATAGACTAAAATTAAGTAATGACATATAAATAAGTACCTAGCGATCAATAAATTACATAACATATAATATTTGATTATATTATTTCGTTATAAATTTAAATACATAAAATATACTAGGAAATGCACAACATAGATAGGGCAGGACAAGAGTATCACCTGCGGCGTGGCACCCACGACAATTAATACCCGGCGCGGCACGCACCCAAGGTCAGCACAAGAGCTTAGAGACACGAAGGCACGCAAGCACGCACGCGCACTAGCATTGTTACCGCGACACAGTTATACTTTTTGTCTATACCGCATAAACGTAAAAATGGTTTCATAGGCATAATTCCTTTGAGCTGTGATGATTCTATCGACACTGTGATCCATCGTGACAAGGTCCATCCGGCAGAGTAACTTTTCGCAAGCTATTTATATACACGTTGTCGCAGTGCAGCGGAACGGCAGCGGTCCCGCTAAACAAAGCACACATCGTGACACACCAGGAACTGGATCTGAGGCAGAATATAGATGGCAGTGCACAAAGCAGACACATAGTTAAAATGCGTTGCTGATTGGTTGTGACGGATTTTAACGACGCCATAATATCATGATTATATCAGAGCATATAAATCAAGCCTCACGTTTGATTTATAGTGGCTCTGAGTTACAATATAAGGTAGCAAGCAGTAGAGGGCAATCCATACAGCGGGCAGGCCTGAAATAAGCATCGAACAGCAAATTCATTTAAAGATACTCACACGTACTGCGCTTACGACAACATACACTTTATTCATGTTAAATAACCTACACGATTCATGCTCTATGCTCCGCTCGGAAACCTTTAACCGAGCTCTATGATGCCGATTTTGTGGGCGAAGTTGTCTGAACACATTTCACCAAGCACTCAAAAATGACCAACCGGAATGTTCACGAATACACACAAGGAACCAATTTTACTTCTACGGTTTCTAGACGACCACCGGAGGGCATCTAACTTGCGTGCACTAATGCCAATTATTGCACTGCTAGTGGGCATAATTTCGGCGAAAAAATGAAAAAAAAGCCTTTTCTAGAGACCGAAAATAGTGCAGACGGTGAAAAATTTGCGGAGGTATTGCTGTTGTAACTGCCTCCTATTAATAGATGAATAAAAAAAAAAAAATGTGGAAATATAGGAAATTAAATTGTTATATATTCCCCATAGGAACAACATAAAAGTTCAAGGATGCTAATGATACTCCGAGTTGTGGTATGAGCGGTCAATTTCAGGCAGTATTATATATATCATATAGTTATGATATATATATATATATATACTATACTACTGCGCTGAAATTGCACCGCGGGCATACTAACTATATATCAGTATATATAATATATATATAATATAATATATATATATATATATGTAAACTCTAAGCACATATATGTGTTTGGAGTGCTGGATCGTCCTTCCTTAAGCTGGGCGAGTCCGATAACACAATCATACGTGGCAAGGATGACTGCAGTTAATCCGTCCGCCAGTATGTGAAATACTGACATAGCGCCCTCGCGTAGCAACGTCACTATTTCACATTACGGCAGCGTAGAAACTATGTAGAACTGTTTGACGTTTCCGTGGTCCAGCGTATGTCAGTAGTTCTCATTGGCGCTCAGCCAAGCTATGTGAATTCTACATATACTTGATCTCGTTACGCGTTCGTCGTGTCGGACGGCCGCTGCGACAATTTTGTATATTAATGTGTGATAAATCTAGTTAAGCTTTTTATTGAAGAGTAGACACAACTAACAAGGATTAGAACGTATTTGTAGAGCTGAAATAAAAAATGCACAGTTAGGATGTGTGTTAGAGGTAAGATGTTTGACATATTAGATACGTTGTGCTTTGCGGGGCAGATAAGCTGGGGGCACGAGAAACAACTGGGGGGCGCCGCAAGCCAGGTTTGATGCGCAGGCCAGCAAGTATTTTTCTTAAATGGGGTACCGTACTTATTAGCTACCAAAAAAGCTAATGATTAGTAGGTCTGTAACGCCCGTGCAAGACGGTCGCTTTGATATTCTAAGCGCTATGTTCCTAATATTCACTCGTCGTGTGTAAAATATGCGATACACAATTAGGGGGCCTAGTAAGTTGGTTTATGGAACTAGTAGGGCCTACTAGGCCTAGTGCTCAGGGGTCGTTGTCGTATCAGGTACTACAGATATGTACCGAGGTACGGTATATGCTATATACAAAGTGTACCAGACTTGTACTACAGACGTGTCCCCTTAACCCTAACCTACCCCTAACCCTAACCCTAACCCTAAACACTAGCCTCATATACAGAATATAAACATAATACCAAGGACCTACACTATACCTCGGGTAGCATATCTGTAGTACCTGACGTACGACAACGACCCCATCTGCCCTACTAGTATTACTATTACTTAGTATTACTATTATTAGTACTAATACTAATAGTAATACTATTACTAATACTAATAGTATAGCTCTAGTATTAGTAGTACTACTCACTACTAGTTACGTAGTACTATTACTATTGCTCATAGGGTCTATGTCGCCCCCAGGGTACTGCCGGAACATACGGCCTGGGCAGGCGGTTCCGGTCTATCGCGGAACCGTAGACGCTACCGCTGGTAACTATTTGATATGGTCTAGAGTGTAGGGTTAGGAATAGGGTTAGCGGAGTAGGCGTAGACGACCTGCCCTAGACCTTGTTAGTGAGTAGGCGAGGTACCCGGTTGATGGCATTAAGATAGTACGCAGGGTGACGTTAATTCCGGTATCCGAACGTACGGGCCAAGGTACGGTTTCGCGGCAGTACCCTGGGGACATAGACGCCTGCTCAGCATTTACTATTAGTATTAGTAATACTCCAATAGTATTTACTGTATCTTTTAGCAGGGGTAGCCCCGCCAGCCTATAAAAAGCAGTCCCGATTTTTTTGCATTCCTAACCGCTAACCCTACCCCTACACGCTAACCCTAAAGGCAAGACACACTACTGCGACAGCGACCGAGCCGTCAGGCCTAACGACAAAACGACAAAAGTCGGCGGCGACTGGCGCAGAACACAGGCTGCAGCGATAGCGACCGCGATTTAGGTCAAAGTTTTACCCTAACATTCGCCACAGTGGCACACATGAGCAACACGGCAAAAACGCTGCCTGCTGCCTTAACTAAAATGTTGTTATAATGCTCTTAGGTTATGGATTATATATAATAAAGTAAAATAGTATACGCAGGGACATATTTATACGTAGCGTACTATAATTAGAATCACGTCTGATCGCGTTAGCTAGTCCGAGCCAACCGCAGACACGGCCAGTAATGAGCTGGGCAGTTAAACCAGCACGGCCCTCAATTGAGCAAAGCACGAAGTTATAACATCTGCGTGGCAGACAAGCTCGACGCGCTGACTTGCCTTGCGCGTTTTGGTTGAGACTGGTTCGCGCCCCCCACTGCTTGTGAGCAGGGCGCGCCGAGTTTAGGCGCGCGGAACCAGTGCTACTTCCTGGTAGCATTATTGGTTATAATTTTATGACGTAGATGGTAGCTTTCACTGTGCCGATGGAACGGATGGTGATTGGCCGATTGTTGTAAAGTGTCGCGGCGACACTCGCTGGAAATTAGAATACAATCTACATATTTTCTGGTCGTCGAGGTTGTCGGCCGGTC